GCAGTGATGCAGGCTGAATTTGCTTAGTTCCTTAAGGAGCCAGTCTTCTGGGTGACAGGAGGAATAGTGAGGGTGTGCTGGCTGAAGATACAGCTCACCAGCTTCACTTTTTGATTTCCCAGCCTTTGGGAAGTTTCAGCAGCTCAACGTTCCTCAAAGAACATGTGCTTGCAGCTCAGGAGGGCACTGTTTCCAAACTCCAAACTACAAGACACTTTAGGAGCAGGATTGATGCTGTGTCCTGAAATTGGACTCTTTTCAGCATCTCCCATCCAAAATCAGGAGATCTGGCAGCACACAGAAAATGAAATGTGTTGGGAAAACCCACATTATTGTTCCTTAGCAAGAAAATGCTGTGATAACCATTTTTGAAATGGGACTTTGATGTTTAAATTATTTTTTCTTTCCCCTCGATTATTTTGATCTGTTCTACAGATGATGAGGAGATGGAAGGAGATGGAGTCATAGACCCAGGAATAGAGTATGTGCCCCCTCCCAGTGGGACAGCTGGTGCTGGCACCATGATAGCAAGCAGGAAAAAGGTGAAGACAGCTGAGCAGATCAAGCAAGAGGTGGAGAGTGAAGAAGAAAAAACAGAACGGATGGAAGGTGACAGTGAAGATCCCGAAGAGTCAAACACACCCTTGCAGGTGAGAGGACGAGACAAGGGCAAGTCACAGCTGGAGAAGGATGCTAAGCCCAGAGCTCCCAAGCACACCTCAGTTAGCATCTATGAGGAGAAGCTGCTGCTGAAGAGACTGGAAGCCTGTCCCAATGCTCTGAGCATGACCCCAGAGGCCCGCAGGCTGAGGCGCAAGCTGCTGGTCAGGCAGGCCAAGAGGGAGAGAGGGCTCCCACTCTTTGACCTGGACCAGGTTGTCAATGCTGCACTGCTCCTGGTTGATGGCATTTATGGAGCCAAAGAAGGTGCTGTCTCCAGGTCCCCAGTAGGGCAAGCAACATACAGAACTACTAGCCAGGACTTCAGGATCTTGGACAGATACCAGGTGGGTGTTCCCAAATCTAAGTTAGCTTTTGGCACTGCTTATTTTAAAGCTTTTGCTGCAGCCAGCAGTGTCACATTGAGTTATCTGACTCCTAAAGTGAAAAGGCTCATGTGAACAACACTCATTTTGGCTTGGGGCTCTCCTAAGTCCCTTTCTTCTTGGGACATGCTGGTTCAGCACTGCTATCTGTCAGTGTCAGCACCACAAATGTCACTGTGTTTGTACTCCAGCCCTGCCCAAATGCTGGAGGTCTGGAAGTATCCAGACAGGTGGATGTGTATAGGAGGGAGATGACTTGCAGCGCTTTCAGATTTGGGCACCAAATTTGGGAGTGCTCAGCAGGGTCCAGAGGTGGGACCAGTGTGCTCCATCCACCCTGTCACACTGAGAGGCCATTACTCTCCCTCCATGTGTTCAATCTCTGCCTGACCTCCCTGCAATTGTTGTGCATTTTTGTCACGCAGACGATGCTGCCCGCCACGAAGGGATACCGGCAGCAGACAAGCAAGTTCCTGTACCGCCTGGTAGGCTCGGAGGAGCTGCTGGCAGACCACAGTATTGTCAGCCCTTACACCTCCCGTGTCCTTAAGCCTTACATCAGGTACAGAGGGTCTGAGCTTGCTCTTGGCTTGTGCACCGCCAGCCCACGGAGAGGACACCTTTCTTGGGCAGTGCTCCTCACTCCTCCTCACAGTACATCCCAGTGCACCATGGTAACCCTGGAGGGATAGTGTTGGATTTAGCTGAGTGGTGAAATGGATTGCATTGGGAAGGGGAATCTCCAAGAGGGGGCAAGGGCAGAGAGGGCATTGCTGTAGCCATTCAATGCAAGTTGCACCTGCCCTTGGGTCAGAGCTGTGATTTCCTTGCTCATGCTGTAAGGAAAGACTGGCTGGACATGCTGTGGGGCTGGAAAGTTTCCTGGCCTCTGGCACAAGGGTGTTTTTGCTGAGCCTGGAGCTGCTTCCCCATGTGAATGGAAGACTTCTTTATTTTCCTAAAGTTGAGCATGTCAGAAGATACTTCATGGGCAGTAGCCATTTAGCTGCAGTGGCAGTTCTTGTTGCTCACTTGCTTTTTGTGTTTCCTTTTCACGTTCCTGGCAGACGTGATTATGAGACAAAGCCTCCAAAACTCAGGCTGCTGGCAGAAATCCGGGCCAATCCACACAGGAATGATCTCAACTGGAAGGCTGAGCCAGAAGCACCCATTGATTACTGCTACGTTCGCCCTAATCACATCCCCACTATCAACTCTATGTGCCACGAATTCTTCTGGCCTGGTAAGATTCCTCCAGTGCTTGGGTTTCCAAGAAAGAAGTGAAAAAATATGTTCTTGGGCCAAATTTTATTTCAGTTGGTGTCTGGCTGGTTCTTAGAAACCCATTATCTGATGTTACAGGAATGTATTTGAGGTGGAGGCGTGGCTTTGGTGTCTTTGTCTCTTGAGATTGTATAAAACTGGGAAATTAGGCACAGCACTTACAAAAATAGGTGTTAATAGGAGTAGTAGGTAGGTTAGTAGTTAACTAAACTTAACATCCAGTGAAATGTTTTGCAAGAATCAGGGGTTGAAATAAACAGTTTTATACCAGAGATTACTGTTCATTAACTCTGTGAGAAGGTTTTTCCTAACAGCCATAAGCTAAATATGTTGGAGTGAAAGTTGGGAGGTCGTAGGAGGAGTGGCTGAGGTCTGTTCAGCCTGGAGAGGAGGAGACTGAGGGGAGACCTCATTGTGGGCTGCAGCTCCCTCAGGAGGGAGAGCAGAGGGGCAGGCAGCAACCTCTCCTCTGTGATTACAGGACCCAATGGAATGGCTCTGAAACTGTTTGGGGAGGTTTAGGTTGGGGATTAGGAAAAGGTTCTTCTCCCAGAGGGTGGTTGGGCACTGGAACAGGCTTCCCAGGGCGGTGGTGACAGCTCCAAGCCTGTCCCCAAGGAGTCTGGACAACAGGCACATGGTGTGATTCTTGCAGCTGTCCTGTGCAGGGCCAGGAACTGGACTGGATGATCCTTGAGGGTCCCTTCCAACTCAGTTTATTCTGTGATTCAGTGAATTGCTTTTACAGCTGTAGGCTCTGCTGTGATGTCCTTTATTTCTTCAAGCCTCCATGGGAAAGGTTAGGTCTGTGTTTTTCTGTGTCCTTTCTGGAACTGTGGGTTCTTTGGGGACAGTGTCCACCCTTTCTGGGGGTGGTTACAAGGCTGCACTCTTTAGTTCTTCTGCAATAATAACAGGGAGGTTCATCTGCTGCATGCATCAGCTTCTGATCAGCAAACAACGCAGCAGACTAATTTAGAAAAGGCCAGTGCAAACAGAACACACCTTTATTTCAGGTAACTGCTGGCTTTGTGTTTTGATTTGCTGGTGGTGATTCAGCAGGGCTGTAGTTCAGCAGTGCCCATGTGCCCCAGTCAGGATGGGAGCTCTTTTTGCTTCTCATTATGCAGATTGCACAGTGTGGGGGGAATAACCTGGCACACCTTTCCTTTCACGAGCTGTTTGAGAGTTTGTGAGAGACTCTTGCAATCCCAGCAGAGGCTGAACCGCTTTGTCATAGTCTCCCTTCTCCTGATAATGCATTTGAAGTTCTGGCCAAGTTGGCTTGCACCTTCATTAAGTTCTTCAGGACTCACCCTATTTTATTTAACATAAGGAGCATGGGTGTGTTCCACCCAACTGTGAACTGCTCATCATTAAATCAGAAAGCTGACACCCCTGTCAGTCTCCAAACAGGAATCCAAATCTTTTCCATGGTGATAAAATTCTGATGCTGGGATATGATTGTTGCACCTTGGTTCTGTTTAGCAGGAGAGGGAAGTGAGGAAGTGATGCAGGACGTAAAGCCTGGGTGCAAAGGGTTTAGCTGGTACAGCTTGGGGGTGGGAGGCAGGGATATGCAACTGGGTGAGCATCATTAAGCCAGCACTTAGTTCTTCTGTGCCTCCAAACCCTTCCTTTCAGAGCTGTTCTTGCCTCTCCCAAGGCAGAGCCAGGTTTCCAGGTAGAGAGATTCTCAGGTGGTGTTTGTGTCAGTGCCTTGGTGCCCTAATGGGAAACCTCTCCCTGGCAGGGAGTGTCTCCAGTGGTGAACCATCCTGAGCTGAGCATCTCCCTCCCTACAGGAAAAATTGCACCCCTGCAGAGACACCAGTGCCTGGGGCAGGGAGCGTTCTGTCCAGTCACCGCTGCAAGGCACTCCACAGGCAGGGCAGCCTTGCCTTAATTAACACAGCTCCCTATTGCCAATCGATCCCTCCCACGTCCCGCTCCACCCTGTTCACTCTGGAGCAAGAAATAACTCACCCACTTCTCTGTGCCTGCTGCTTCTGAAGTCTTGCCTCTCATCAGAGTGATTACTGGAAAACACACTCTGCTGTTTTGTTACCCTGTGTTCCAAATACATTGCAATTGCCAACTTGAGGCTGAAGCAAACGTTTCTGGCACGTGTCGTCTGTGTCTTGCATCGCATTTAGGGTCTGTCCACACAAATTATCGAGCAGTCAGTCTTCAGTGCCTTGAGCTGCACTGCTGGGTGCTGACAGGCTGTGTGGATGCTCTAGGACTGCAGCAGCAGGATGTTAGGCAATGTAACAAACTCCCAGTCTGAGTCCAGCCTCTGACTTACAGAAGCACCACTGCCTGAGAGCCTGCTTCATCCCCAGATTAGAGTATTTGCATGCTAAAAGCAAATGTTTTGATAGTGTTGGAAGCTGTGGTCAGGTTCACAGTGCAGCTCCATAACCAGCTGAGAGTGCACAAGAGACACCAGTAAGAGCTGCAGAATGGAGGAAACAGACAGAAACCACAGCAGGCAATGGTACCAAAGCTGAAGCCCAGTTTCATGCGTGCTGCTTCTGAAGAGAGTTAAGTTTCAGTTTCATCCTTGAGTCATTTGAAAGGAAATCAGCTTTGTTAGTATTTCCATGCAAGCTTCCCTGCTAGGCAGATACTGTTTTGTCTGTTTTGTTGTATCATCTTTTCCCTTGCATACTCACCTGGCAGGGAAGGCACCAGGAGCAGGCAGCTGGTTTCATCCACTGTACTCTGGGTGTCCTGACCCCTGGGATTTCCCAAAATGTGGGAAATTTGGCCTCATAATTTACAGTAACAGAGGGCTGCTCTAGCAGGGACCTTGGACTATTCTATGATGCTGTGGTCTCTTGCTATCACAAATTTAAAAGAAAGGTAAAAAGAAGGGATTGAGTGTTTCTAAAAAGCCTTAAACCCCTGGATTTGAACCACACTTTTATTTTGGTTTGCAGTGCTTCCAACTGCTGTTTCTCTCTTTCTCCCTAGGAATTGATTTGTCAGAGTGCCTGCAGTATCCAGACTTCAGTGTTGTTGTCCTCTACAAGAAAGTTATCATTGCCTTTGGCTTTATGGTGCCAGATGTGAAGTACAATGAGGCTTACATCTCTTTTCTCTTGGTGCACCCTGAGTGGAGAAGAGCTGGGATTGCAACCTTCATGATTTACCATCTTATCCAGGTAATGAAATGAAATCATCCCTTGAATCTGCCAAAGAATCAGCTCTCACTTCTTCCTTGTGTGCACACCTGCAGATATTGGAGAGTAAGAACCCTTTTTGTGAGTGTTTATGGGAGGGAATAGCTCCTGCTTTGGAAGTCACAATGTGTTTAGGAAAATAACCATCCTGGTCATCCCTCAGAATTAGAGGGATGTTGCACACTTCAGCTGTTTTGGACTTAGCTCTGTGTTCTTCAGTGGTCAGTAGTTTGTGTGCAAGGGACATTGTAAATGGGGGTTTAAGGAGGAAATGAGGGAAGAGTGGGGCAGGGTCAGTTAGAATTATTGCAGCTTTCTTGACTACACCTGGAGGTTTATTGCATGCATTAAATCACTTACTGATCTCAATCACTCACTTGCACTTTTATCCTCTGGTTCAAATACAGCTGAGTTCATGATGAAGTGTTTGCAACCTCATTGTTTAAAATGGGCCTTGTTCCACAGGAATACTTGGGAAAATTAATCTCAGCTAACTAAACGGGTGATACTAAAGGAGTTAAACTTCATTAAATCTCTGAATGAATACTGTTATTCAAGTGGCCTTAATTCCACTGACTTTCTTGAATTAAATTGCAGGAAAGGCAGCTTAATTGTGAGTAAAGATGAGTAAGATACATGTTCTTTACAGAGCCCAACTCCACAGTTTTACCACTCCCTGAACTCTCTTGGCAGAGCTGCTGATGGGAAACACTGTAGTCAAGATGAGCTTCCCTAACAAAAACTCACCATTGGAAACTGTTTTATCCTCTTTCTTTCTTGGCTAAAGCAAGGTAGGGAGTGCTGGCAGAGCCTTGTGGAAAGTGATCCCTGCTTTGGAAAAGCACTTTGTGCTCCTGGGCTGCCTGAGGATAACTCTGCTACCTGCACAGCTCTCTGCAGTACTGACACAGGCCTCTCATCAATATTCTTTAAACTCAGCCCTTGCATCTCCCAGACAGCTCTGTGTCAAGTGTTGAAGGAAATTCCCCTCAGCTCAGTGTGCTGATGTGAGATGTCAACACCCAGTGGGAACAGGAGCCAAGGCTTGCAGGGATCCAGCAGGTGGACTCTCAGAGACTTCCCTCTCCAGCAGAGTGGGATGCTGGAGTTGGCAAGTCAGCCACAGAAAATCCTCACACCTTTCTGTAGGATGTATCACATCAATTAACCTAATCCTTCTTGCATGAAATTCCCTGTTGAGAAAAGCCAAGCAGATTTCAGAGATTTGACTCTGATTAGGCACACTAGCAATGAGAGATCAGCACTGTATGTTTGGCTCACATGAGGATTGTTTTTTGGCAGTGGCAGAAGGGGTTTAGTCCTGTGGAACAGTGGTGGTTGTGACCTTCTGTTCCTCAGTCTCCAGGTTTTAGGTGCTACTTTGCAGCCTGCTTGGGTTTGGAGCCTCCTCTCTGTAGCTTGAGACACTTTGATGCTTTGCTTGTATTAAGAGTAAGTTGCTGACTTTGGGATCAGTGTGCTGAGTTTGGGGCTGAATTCTTGGGAACAACATAACTTAACAGGAAAGTGGTTTGATGCAAATAGTAGTGGCTGGTTTTGGTGTCAAAATTTATCCTCTCATGCATCTGTCCCAGAGGAATAAACTGCATTTTCTTAATGATCTCATTCAAATTTTCTTTTCCCCAAAACAGCTTCCAATTATTTCTTTTTTTCCTTCCCTCCTTAAATTCCTGAGAGTTTTCCCCTTGAATGTACTATCTTGGAGATTTCCTAGAGGGTATTACTGTTCCCACTTTAGAGTTACTATACACTCAATATACATGGAATGCTATTAAATCACTCGATGAAAGCAGAAAATAAATTATTTCAGCATCTTAATCAGTGTTGCTGGTTAGAATAATTTAGGATCTTCAAGGTAACTTCAGCCATGCTATTATTTGCTGTCTGAACTGAATTTCCTGCCTTCTCAGGAGAAGAGTGCTGTGCCCTGAAGGATGGGAGAGGAGCTGGGTGGGATAGGCAGGAATTCCAGCATGACAGCACAGAGGTGCTCAGGCAGTCCCAGAGAGCTCAGCTCTGTTTGCTGACAGGGAGGAGTGCAGAGCCTGATCCTCTGGCATTTTTTGTCTTTTCTTCAGGCCATTGTATTTGAGATCAGGGCTGTACACCAAGATTATTTTTAATTAACAATTACTTTAGTAATTTACAATGGGCAGATGACAAATTATAATCCCAAACCTTTCATTGTCAGAGAATCCACGTTTCCCAGAAACAAAGGCTCAGAGGAGCAGCAGCTGCCCTCCCTTTGCTGTTGCTATGTGTGGTAACTCCTGTGACTTTTCTCACATTTCCTCAGTACCTTGGATCCCTGAGCTGATGAGTGTGCTCACCTCCGCATTCCCCCAGAGGCTGTCTCGTTCTCTTGCAGTGATATCTCCTTTTTGTTCCTCTCCCCCTCCCTTGGCAGACCTGCATGGGCAAGGACGTCACCCTTCACGTCTCTGCAAGCAACCCTGCTATGCTGCTCTACCAGAAGTTTGGATTTAAGACTGAGGAGTACATTTTGGATTTTTATGACAAGTATTACCCCTTGGACAGCAAGGAGTGCAAGCACGCCTTCTTCCTCAGGCTGCGGCGCTGAGCTCAGGAGAGCTCTGGGGAAAAGCCCAATCCATCCAAAAACTCCCCCAGCTTTTGGTGGAGGATGTTGGCTGCCACAGGAGAGCTGCAACACGCTGGTGTGTTTATCCCTAGGACTTTGGATGTCAGCAGTGAGTGGAAAAATGCAATCCAAAAGGATTGGTTCCTGTGCTCCAAGGGGAGAGGCCTGGAAATGCCAACTAGGGTACACCGAAACCACTGGAAAATTGAAATTCCTCATGGGGAATTTTCCTGCCACTGTTACTTTGGAGAGCCTCATTAGCAAACAAAAATACCAAACAAAAAAGTGTTTCTCACTTCAGAGGGGCCCCATGGATTTCAAGTTTTGAAACCTGTCCAAAAAATGTTGCAGGTTTTTTGTCTCTGTTTGTTTATTAGCAAAAAATGAACACCTAAACTTAAACCATTCAGTGTTTCTGTGGTTTGATTGCTTTGTTAGGAACTGTCTTGAGTCTGTGAAGGGAAATAAGGTATTGGTGCCTGTAGCTGGATGTTAACATTAGGAAAGTTCTGCCCATACCAGAACCGTAATCCTGGAACCATGTTTCAGAAATACTGAGGAGTGTGTGGATTCCTGTTATCCCAAGTGCCAGGCTCAGAGAAGACACCTTTGTTTTGCCTCTTCCCTTGCCCTCCTTGCCCCGTGCTCAGTGTGGTTCTCGTAGCGCGCAGTGTTTTGTGTTCAGGAACGGTGTCAGGTGGGTTTATGTCTAGGCAAGGCAGGGCACCACAGCTGCCAGATCAGCTCTCTGGGATCCTTCCACCTCTCTGTGGTTGTGGGGCTGCAGATCAGCCCTTTGGGCACACCTCTAGCCACAGAGCAGCCTCACAGGCTCCAGCACCCACCTCCTCCTGCTGGCAGAAGCCCAGAGCAGAAGTCAGCGGGGATGTTTGAAATGCTGATTTGTAGAAGCAGTTGGCTCGCTGCTTGGAGGGAGGAGGAGAGGGCAGAGGTGGCCCAGATCTAGTTCTTGGAAGCACCTAGGCTCACCTAGCAAAGAATAAATAGAAATAGCCAAGAATTAAAAAATACAACCCCAAATGCTTTCTCTGCTAGTGGCTCTTGTCCTTTTCCACAATGTAGCAGCTTCTCTCTCTGACTTTCAGTGCAGATGAACAGAAAGCTGCACAGACCAAAGGCCAGGCTGGGCATTTTAACTACAGATCACATCCATTGGGATGGTCCTTTTACATCCAGCCTACAGAGAGCTACACACCAAATGTGACTTCTCTGTCCTTAATCTGCTGTGTGTACCTGCTGGCTACCTGACTGTAGCAGTAATTGCCTTTGTGGAGTCTTCATTTTGTAACAGAAGAGAAAGGGATACAAAGTATGTTTTAATGTAGCCAGTGTCCATCATCACCAACACAAAACCCAGTGGTGGTGGAAAGGAAAACCTGCCCAGCCAAGGGTTGTGTGCCCAGACATCCATGCACATTTCTGTCTGTTTCATGACTGTGAAAATTTTCATGTTCTTAATGTTATGAGTTAGCTGGACTTTGAAAGAAAAGAAATATATGTCTTTATGAATGGAATTAAAGCCCTTCCCTTGGAAAAGCTTGTCTGTAGTCATAGTGTTTGTTAAGGTGTCTCTCCATCATCTTATTTCATTGGAATGTAGCAAACTCCAGTATGGCCCTGAGAGGAGGTGTGTGGGCAGCTGACCAAGGCAAGAAACTCATTTCCCTATGGGCACACACAGGCAGGCCTTAGCAAGCTCCTCCTTATCAGACAGAATTAGGAAATACAAAGTAGTCTGAAGATGATCATGGTTCTGCATTGTGTTCTCAAAGGTGACTATGAAGATCTCGAGAACCATATTGCTCTGTGGCTTTGTCCCTGAGGGATGGCCAAGTGACAACGCTGTTATAACAGCCCTGTGTCACCTGCTGAGCTGCCGCCAGCTTGTTTTATCCAGGTCCCTCTAACCCCGGATCCTCAAAGGCAGTGAGGTGATCCTCGTGGTGGGAGCCATGGCTTTGTAAGGGGTGAGGTTCTAAGGTACGTAGTGAAACAAGCGGACAAACGGTGTTCCCAGCCCTCTGCTTCCCTCTGGTGCCTCGGGAGCCCGGCTGCTGGCTCACCCGAGCTGCGCTTGAGGAGCCAACACCGCGCTGCCCGAGCAGCCAAGCATCGCTTAACTAAGCCCGGCTTTCCCGGGAATAAAGGCGGAACTTTTCCTAACGGGGCAGCAAAGCCC